TAGGTGGGCAGGAGCAGGGACTGAGCAACAGGAGCTCACTCCATCATGGGGATTTGAACCACCGACCTTCTGATCGGCAAGTCCTAGGCTCTGTGGTTTAACCCACAGCGCTTTGGGGGAAAGCCATGACTGGTAAAGCAGTATGATACGGCTTTAAATGTTTTTGAGTTAAAGCATGGGCAGGCAAACTAAGGCCTGGGGACCGGATACAGCCCAATCACCTTCTAAATCCGGCCCATGGACGGTCTGGGAATCAGCGTGTTTTCACATGAGTAGAATGTGTCCTTTTATTTAAAATGCATCTCTGGGTTATCTGTGGGGCCTGCCTGGTGTTTTTACATGAGTAGAATGTGTGCTTTTATTTAAAATGCATCTCTAGGTTATTTGCAGGGCATAGGAATTCATTCATTCCTCCCCCCCAAAAAAATATAGTCCGGCCCCCCACAAGGTCTGAGGGACAGTGGACTGGCCCCCTGCCGAAAAAGTTTGCTGACCCCTGAGTTAAAGTGAAGAGGACTAAGAAATTAGGGGTTCTCATCCTAGGATTGCCATATTTCAAAAAGTGAAAATTTGGCCAATGATGTTGTTCAGCTTTTTTGAGTTTTGCCCACAACTTGTCGAGCTTTTCTCTCAAGATCTAAAATAAAAGAAGTTTTTGAGCTATTTTAAAAGAAATTCGCTAAAATCTACACTTCCAGCATACATCTGGACACTGTTTTCGATGGCCGAATCCTGGACATATGGCAACACTAGGACATCCTATTCCATAATAATCATAATCATAATAAATTTATTTATACCTGTCCATCTGACTGGGTTGTCTCAGCCATTCTGGGCAGTTTCCAACATATATAAAAACCATAATAAAACAATGAACATTAAAAAAACTTCCTTGTACAGGGCTGCCTTCAGATGGCTTGCAGGTTGGATAACTCCTTCCCGCCCCGCCCCCCAACATTTCTCCGATAAAAATAGGGCCATCCTAAAGAAAAGCAGGACTTTCCGGCTGAATCTTGGGCGCCAGAGACGGAGGGAGCTGCGGCCCAGCAGGAATATAAACTCTTGGATTTGATAAATGAACTTGGAAAAAATCAGACTTGGAAAGATAAAATCTGGTTTGGTTTGGAAATGGGGGGTTGGATAGACCCCCCTTTACAGGGAGATTTGGACTTCTCAAGTCTGGAAAGGGGCCGTCAGATGTTTGGAGCTTTGGGGGCTCTCAACTTTGAAGGGAATCTGGAGCATGCTTGTAAATACTACATCGAGCCTATCCTGGACTATGGAAAAGGGATCGTCTTGCTGAAAAGGGTCAAAAACACTACCAAGCTGGAGTTCCCACGAATAAAAGGGAAATATAAAGAAGAGGTACGAAAGGGACATGGAAGAGACTTGAGGGCCTCGGATATAAGATTGCCAGGTTAATGTGCTAGATTAATAGGATAAAAAGGACTGACAAAACCCGGGACCAGGAGGAACGGACGTTGGATGAAGACTGGATTGCTTTTTTCTTTTATTCTTATCATTAGGACTGTTTTATAAAATTGATGAATGTTAGGAAAATGTTGAAATGAAACTATTTGGCTCTTATAAAAATGTCTAAAGAACTAGGTAAGAATGTTATGGTTTAGGAGAAGTTGGTAAAAATTAAGATTTAAGTTTTAAACTTTAAGGTTTTCTATAAGATAAGATGAAAATAGATCAAGGTAATGTGATGACAGAATACTATGAATTATGGAAAGGATTTGCTGTGATTATTATAAAACAGGATACAGGAAAAGGGAGGAGGAGGAGGTCAAGGAAAGAAGGTATTGAAAGTGGAGAATTGGAGAATGATGGTTTTATTTTATTTTATTTTTTTCTGTCTTGTTTTTTCCTTTGTGTAATTTTTTTTTAAAAAAACTCTTTTTTCAATAAATATCATTTAAAAAAAAAGAAAAGAAAAGCAGGACTTTCCGGAATCAAATCAGAAACTGGGGTGGCTTCTGTAAATCTGGGGCTGTCCCAAGGAAATAGGAACGCTTGGAGGGTCTGTTGCCCCACCTCATCATTCACCCAGTTAGAAACTATTCATACACACACACACACACACACACACACACTCCAAAAAGTTTGGTTAATTCTGGAGCCCCATAATTCTGTAAAAACTTACTGCTGGGAAATGCCATTATGCAACCTGGGGGGAGGCTGGAATTAAGCACCTATATTTATGGGAGAATCTTTATGGGAGATGTTCTCTTTGTTCCAGTTGTAGAAATTGTCGAATATAATGGAAGGGCTGAAATCATTTCTCCTTCAGTGCTTGCAAATGGGGAGCTTTATTTTAAATAAGTTAAGAGAGGATAATTTGAGGAGAGAATTGCAACCATCCGCACAAAACTCTCTTATCTGTTCTAACTGAGTTCAAGGGCTTATTATTGACAGCCGGCAATATTCTTATTAGTTTTGTAATGCCGGATGATTCGTCCTGCAGGATTCGCCCTGCAGATTGACATTAGACTACTGTCCTTTTATCTGGACTAAAAGTCCTGGATATTCCAGAAGTGCTCTTAATCTGCTGCCTAAAAGAAGAAGAAGAAATCATTTTTCAAAATGTAAAGTTGTCTCCAACTCAGTGTAGATTACCTCTCACAGAACCATAATTCCCAGCACCCTTAAAACAAATTACAGTTCCCAGGGTCCTTTAGAGAAAGCCAGTGCTTTAAATGTGCTTTAAAGTAAACGTATGCTGTGGACATGACTGTTATCTATCCCTTCTGATAAGCTTGTTTTCTAGATGCAGAGAGCGGGGCTTTTAGGAAGGGAAGCTATGGAGAACACTGGTCATCTAATCCAAGCAGGTGTGAATAATAATAATAATAATAATAATAATTTATACCCCGCCCATCTGGCTGGGCTTCCCCAGCCACTCTGGGCGACCTCCAACAAAATATTAAAATACAATAATGCTTCAAACATTAAAAGCTTCCCTAAACAGGGCTGCCTTCGGATGTCTTCTAACAGTCTGGTAGTAGTTGTTGTCTTGGACATCTGGTGGGAGGGCGTTCCACAGGGCGGTGCCACTACCGAGAAGGCCCTCTGCCTGGTTCCCTGTAAGTTGGCTTCTTGCAGTGAGGGAACCGCCAACGGACACATACATGCATTTGGGATGCAATTTTGCCTAATATCTGCACATTTGCTAGCAGTTTCCCCCGACAGAATGCATTTTCCTACATTATTTTCACCAATACACACAATTTAGTCGCACTTTCCCACCAATATACCCATTTTTATGTGGAGAAGTGAATTTTGATGGATACCTGCATTTATCTTTGGGCATTGGTTTGGGAAGCAGGAATTAGGTAGGCTTGCATTAAAATGTAAAGGGAATGAATCGCCCCCTGTCTGCATCCCTAGTTTCTGGTTAGTGTCTGGATGAGACAGCTGAGGAGCACATTTCCCTTGAGTTCCATGGTGGAAGAAAAGTGAGATATAGAATCATAGAATTAGAAGAGACCACAAGGATCATGTAGTCCAACCCCCTGCAAGGCAAGAATCTTTTGGCCAGCATGAGCTTCGAACCCATGACCATGAGATGAAGAGTCTCATGCCCAACCAACAGAGGTATCTAAATGTATTTATATACCTCCTGCAATCTAAAGTGGCACATTCCCTCCTGAAAGGCACTGCGTATCTATTCTAAATATGATGATGGATTCCTTATGTGTGCTGCTAGGCTAAATGCCCCTGAACAAGTTTGATTCCACCACCCCCTTTCCTTTCCAGGGTCCCAAATACATCCATTCATTGATAGAATTGCTATGCGATACTCTATTCACCTCCCTCTTCCACTTCCTGCTGTTCTCAAAGGACCAACAGAGCCCTTGTGAATGACCACACAGTGGATTCCTACAAAACACCTATTCATGTTTTTTTTTAAAAGAAAAAGGAAAAAGGAAAAACGACTTACACAAACTCCACGACACAGCAGTAAAATAGCTCTTTATATACCTTACCTGGGTTTAAAAGGTCAATATAGTTAAGCCACTGCCCCATAGATACATCTTTCCCCCCTTTAAGCCTGGGGGTGTCCACAATAGCAAGAGTTTCTCTGCCGCCTGGAAACATGTGAAAGAAGGGAAAAGGACACTGCAGGGTTTGTTGGGACAGTATTGAGGGATATTGATACCCCCAGCCCTATCTGGGTTGAGATAATCTTGTCACTGAATCAGAGGATGTTCATAGCCTGTAACTGACTGTAATCATAGCGGGTGCTAAGTGGATTGAGAACAGAATGAGAACGGAAACATAAATTGCCCATTTTGATTTGTTCGTCCCATGTCTAAGGTCAAATCTAGCAAATACTATCAATATTTGCTGTTGTTGTTTTCAGTCCACAAATGATACGGCATTTATTATGTCACATACTCACCCACCCCAATTTGCAATGAAATGAATGGAGTGGAACGATGTCATGGCATTATGCAATTAACCTAAGTTACAAAGTTTCACCACAGGGGACAGCAAGATAAACAAGGTAGTTTTGGGTGGAAGATGAACTGCAGCAGAATGGGAATAATGCTATGTTCAACATATTCGGGGTGGAATGGGAAAGAATGTGTTTTTACATCCCTACTCCCAAGTAAGGACATCAGTCTGGTAAAGTTAAAAGGACCCCTGACCATTAAGTCCAGTTGTGACTGACTCTGGGGTTGCGGCACTCATCTCGCTTTATTGGACGAGGGAGCCAGCGTACAGCTTCCAGGTCATGTGGCCAGCATGACTAAGCCACTTCTGGCGAACCAGAGCAGCGCACCAGTTTATCTTCCCGCTGGAGCGGTACCTATTTATCTACTTGCACTTTGATGTGCTTTCGAACTGCTAGGTGGGCAGGAGCAGGGACCAAGCAACGGGAGCTCACCCTGTCATGGGGATTTGAACCGCTGACCTTCTGATCGGCAAGTCCTAGGCTCTGTGGTTTAACCCACAGCGCCACCCGCATCCCTCCAGTAGCACCTTAGAGACCAACAAAGTCTGTTCTTGGTATAAGCTTTCATGTGCATGCACACTTCTTCAGATACCTGTTATCTGAAGCTATGTGAAGAAGTGTGCATGCACATGAAAGCTTATACCCAGAACAACCTTAGTTGGTCTCTAAGATGCTACTGGAAAATTTTTAAATTTATTTAGACTCACCTAGGAAGGCTGGGGGGGGGGAGAGAGAAATGTTTTTATGTAACAACAGAAGCATCACAATGTTGGGACTTTATTGACTTCAGTGGAAAGAGTGTTCCAGAGAACTGGTACCCCAAATGAACATAAGAACACAAGAAGCTGGGCCCAGGGCAAGTGGTGGTGGAAAAGACCGCATCTTCTGCCTGTGAACTTGGAAAGGTGCTGGAAGTCAGAGTAGTCAACATTGGGCAGAAGGACAAATAGTCAGACTCAGTTAAAGACAGCTTCCTATGTTCCTAAGGACATGTGCATTTCTATTGCATTCTGCTTTTGCAGTGCTTCCTTCAGCTCAGATCTGAGGACTGATGCACATATTATCACACGGCACAGACTGGAAATTCTGCTTTCATCTCTCCCCCCACCCATTGGCTGGAGGTACCAGCATCACAACCATCCCAGCTGCTATAGATGGCGTATGCATTCACCCCTTGACTGCTCCACAAGCTTACACTTTCCCAGATGACTAGACGGCAAAAAGGTTATTTTTAAAGCCTGGCCTCACGAGCCTTTATGGGCTCTTAACTTCCCGTCTGTCAGCTGCTGACACGTTTGCAGTTTGTCTGCCCGCGGAACGGCAGCGCAGGGAGACAGTCCATGAACTTCAAATGCGGAGAGGATCGCGAAAGAGCAGCTCTGCTTCTCTGGAAAATCTGAAGCTTTTCCTTTATGACATATGCGGCTTGCCTGGAATTGAATTTAAAGGAAAAGCCCTCCCTACCAGCTGGGAAGGAACCTGGAGAATCTGATCCTACAAGGACTGTAGATGGAAAGAAAGAGAAGTGTGTGTGTGTGTGTGTGTGTGCCAGCTACATTCACACATTTAAATCACTCTTTTGACTTTCCCCAAAGAATTCTGGGAACTGTAGTTTGTTAAAGGGCCCTGAGAGTTCTTAGGAAACCCTTATTCTCCTCACAGAGCTACATTTTCCAGAGTGCTTTAACGGCCAATCCCTCTTCTCATGGAAATCTGGGAAATATAGCTCCATGGGGGTGGGAACTGTTGGTTTCTATTTCCCTCACTGAGCAGCAACTGCAGTCACAAGACATTGTTTTGCATTCCACAGTCAGAGTTACTGTTGGATTCCCACAGGAATGGGAGACTGGATGTGACGTACACTGGTTTCCTGTTTTTCACTGTTCTCTCGGTTTCTTTGTTAGAGAGGGGGTTGCTTCTCTGCTCTCACAGAGGCAAGATGCATGTTTGTATTCTCTCAGCATAGAGTGTAAATAAAATTAAGAATGTAGCACATACTGCTTATCCTTCTGCTGTGTGACGATGCTCTGCGTGGGCTCAAGATGAGACGAGCCTGTATCAGCTTCAGAAGGGCCATCTGAAGCTGGTCAAAATCTCACATTTTTGGTTATGGGCCCAGAGAAACAGAATCAGGCTGAAGAATGGCTACTGGCAGAGGAACAGAGGGACGGATCAGACGATATCTGCTCTGCACGTCAAGAAGATTGATGAGAGGTATGTGCTCATGCTCCGGGAAGCCTGCCAGCTCCTAATTAATGGCTTTATGGCTGGACTTTGAACTTTTAAAGCCGTTTGCCACGGCACAGGCTCAAAGGCCTCGGAGGCTTGAAAAACGAAAGTACTTTTAAAAGTGCTTTTGGAATGAAGCTGCTGTACACAGACGCAGCTTGTTTAAAGCAGCAATGATGGCTAATGCAAGGCTGGTTGATGCTTTGGGGATTCCAAAGCTCAATAAGAAGAATTACGCGAACTGGGTACTCTATGCAGAGGCTCTTCTGCGAAAAGAAGGTCTGTTTGAAGTTATTACAGACATCCCCCCCCAGCTCCAATGACAGATGAATGGGCAGCTAAGGATTCCAAAGCAAGGGGAACTCTTACATTGATAGTCTCCCCAGAAGAGCTCTGTCTGTTGCGTGATAAGACCTCAGCCAGAGAGATTTGGGACACTTTGAGAGATGCTCATTTGAGGACAGAAGCTGGTGCTTCTTTGTTCTACTATGCCAAGCTGCATGATATGGCACTTGCTGACGGTGCAGATGTCCGTACGCATCTGATGGAGATGCAGAATCTGAGACATGAGCTGCAACAGAGAGGACTCACCTTTCCAGAGGCTGTGTATTCCTTCATGATACTACATTCTTTGGGTTCAAGTTGGGAGTCCGTTGCTACTCAGATTGCTGTTCTGCCAACTGCTCAGATCACAGTAGCCCATGTTACTGCCGTGATTCAGAATGAAGCAGACCGCCGGGGTGCTAGCTGCATGGGTAAGGGGGAGTCTTCACAGACGTCATCCCAGAATGCAGTGGAACCACCAGATGGCGCCAAAGCTTTGAAGGCAGTGAAATGCTACTCGTGTGGACGTCTAGGCCATATGAAGAGGGAATGCAGATTTCCCAGGGCCAAGACAGAGCAGGCTGCCACAGATGCCAAGGCCCAGCCTCGTGTGACATACCAGTTCTGAGGTGCAGGCAGAGAGCAGTGTGGTAGAAATGCTCTGCGAGGAGACAAAAAAATGGGGCTCGAGGAGGTCAGTTGCACGGTGGAGTGAGAAATGTCCCTATTTTCATCTGAGGAATGTTGGAGGCATGAAGGTGGCATACTTTTTCTTTTTTCCAAAATGTTTAATTGGTTTCCACATTTATCACATGGGGGGGGGCATTACTAAACACACAACAAGAAAAGAAAAAAGAGAAAGAAAAACACAAAACAGAATTTCTTACTTCAAAACTCTAATTCTCGTTACATTGATAACTGACTTCCTCAAATCCCCGCTAACTGAATTTCATTATAACCCCTGTATAGCAGTTCTCCAAATTCATATTTCTAATAATATTCACTCCTTTCATTTACTATCCTCATCTCTTTTATTAATATTCTAATCCTTAATATTTACTACCACCTATTCTTATTCTACCCCATAGTCTATCTGTTACTTCCAATAATTTTCTAATTATCTTATATCACAATATTTAGTTAAATATTCTTTAAATTTCTTCCAATCCTCTTGTGTCTCCTCTTCCTTCTGGTATGAAGGTGGCATACATGGACTACTGCCTGGAAGGTGACCTGGAAACTCCAACTAATCCAGAATGCGGCATCTAGACTAGTGACTGGGAGCGGCTGCCGAGACCACACAACACCGGTCCTGAAAGACCTACATTGGCTCCCAGTACATTTCCGAGCACAATTCAAAGTGCTACTCGTGTGGACGTCTAGGCCATATGAAGAGGGAATGCAGATTTCCCAGGGCCAAGACAGAGCAGCTCAGCGAAAGCTCATCGCGTGGAAAAGGCAAAGGCAAAGACAAAGGTCCCGTGTCCAGGACAACGCAGCACAAGGCAATGGTCTCACGCTTCACTCCAAAGGTTGCAAAGGTCCAGAAGACGTCTAGATCTTTCTTCGTGGTGGATACGGGCGCAACGCACCACATTTGCAACAACAAGGGACTGTTCGTGTCTTTTACACCGCAGGAAGGTGCGATTCACCAGGCGGATGACCACACGATCCCCAGTCAAGGCTACGGAACTGTTGTTCTTCACAGTTTGGACTTATCGATACAAGATGTTCTCTACGTTCCAGATGCTTCACACAATCTACTCAGTGTTGCGCAGCTGAATGAACGGAACATTGACGTTTCCTTCAAGAACAAGAAGTGCACCATCACAAAGAAAGACGATTATGTATTGCATGCTGAATATGTTGATCGTTTGTTTGTATTGTATTTTGATGATGATGTGCAGGATGAAACTTGTTGCATTGCAGGTTCTAACAAAAGTTTGCATGCAGGATGTATTCATGATTTTCACAGGAAATTTGGTCATTTGCATTTTGAGGCAGTATCTAAAATGCCTGCCTTGGTTGAAGGTATGACTATTAAACCCTGCAGGTACCACATGAAGTGTAAGGCATGCGCAGCAAACAAGGTGAAAATGGCTGCGAAAGGTAAGGGGTCTAGTAGGCAACCTACAGAACCATACCAGGTTGTTCATGCTGATTTGGTTGGTCCACTATCGCCCTCTTTAGGTGGAAACAGGTACTTCATGGTTCTCATTGATGCATTTTCCAGGTATATTTATGTGTACAATCTCGAGCAGAAATCAGAGGCTTTTCCATGGTTCAAGGAATTCTGTGCTTGGTTGGAAAATGTGCATGGTAAGAAGATAAAGACTCTTTTCACTGATCGCGGGGGGGGGGGGAATTCACTTCTCAGCAGTTCGAAGCTTTTCTGACTGAGAAAGGAATTCAACATGATTTGTCTAGTCCTCGCTCGCCATGGCAGAATTGCGAGAGGGCAAATCAAACATTGCTTCAAGGTTTAAAAACCTTGCTGCATGATGCCAATCTTCCAGAGAGTTATTGGGCTGAATCTTTGGCGTGTTTTGTTTACAGTTATAATCGCAGGTTATCTTCAGCGATTGGTTGTACCCCCTATGAGAAGATGTTTGGCAAGAAACCTTACATCAAACACATGAGAATTTTTGGTTCTGACATGTGGGTTCACACACCACAAAGCTCCAAGTTAGGCAAGCGTGGATTGCATGGTATCTTTCTAAGTTATCAGAAAGGTTCTTACAGGATAATGATGACTGACTCTAAGACCATTAGGCTCACTAGAAGTGTTGAGTACAATGCCAAGTGGGGGGAGAATGTGGGAATTTTCCAATGCTATCCTGATGACAGTGATGAGACTGAGGATAGGCAACAACCCACACCCACTGATGAAGGTCCTGATCCTGAGTCTGAGACTGAATCAGATGATTCAGAGGCTTTCAAGAGTGCGAAAGCCTCTATGCGACCCTCTGAAGGCTCTGATCAAGAACTGGCGGAACCATTGTTCACAATAGGTCACTTTTCTCCTAAGAAGGAAGAGGAGAGTGTTGAAGACCTAAGGCTAATTCGCAGGTCTCAGAGAGCCACAAAAGGCAGACCTCCAAAGAGAT